ATCTAATGGTAAAAAAAATTCTCTTGATCTAATTTAGTTGGATAAAAATATCAAATATATAAAATTAAATATCTAAGTTTTCTTTATTTTTAAAGTGATGGAAATAGAAAGAACAACCGTTGATCTTTTGACTTCATGATCCAATACCACACGCAAGTAGAATCACTACGACTTATCCAGCTTTTTTGTTTTGACAAAAAAACGAAGAAGAAGAATCACTAGGACCCAACTTATGCTACACGCGGTAGGTACACGGCTATATTAAAGAAAGGGAGAGGAGTTTCTAGATGTAAAGAACCCGATAATGCGTTGGCCAAAAAAAAAAAAGCCCTGATTGGGGGGGGGGGCGGTGGTAGCGAGCGTTTTTCTCAAAAGTTGGATAAGTATCCTTCACGGAATCTTCCTTCTTATAATGATGTTTGTCATTTTTCTTTTTTTCTTTTTTGCGTCTTTAATGGTGATGTTTTTGGTTTTTTCGGCAATAATCAGATTTGAGGGCTTCAATGACAACAAATCTCACAACGACTTCGATTCGTGCTTTTTGGAGTTGGATTTTAATAATAATGGTCCTGCTCCCTGATAATGAAATTTTAGTAGTTTTGAATTTCTAGGGAGCCTTTTTTTTCCCATATATGGGTATTATATACGTTATTTTTAAAGAGAATAACCTCTCCCACTTTTTCATCTATTGGTCATTATTTGAATTTTAAAAATAATACATAAGTAAATATTTTTTTCTTTTTTGGGCTCTAATGCGCCCAAATCAATCACAGGTGGATCTTCATAAAACCCACCGTTTTCCAATTGAATTAGTTTTGTAAATATGGCATGCAAGGCAAGTAGTAAGAGAAGTTTTGTTTCAATTTACATGAAATTATTTTTTTTAAGTGATTCCCCTGAATGGATTTATTCTCTACAAACTCCCTTTTCAATCTCATATATTTAAGTGCTGTAGACCACGGGCACATGATGGCTCTGTTTGAGTGTTCTTATACCATTAATCCGTTTCCTGCGTCGGTACAAAACAATTGATCTCTTGATGATTTGTTCGTACATTGATTTAGACATCCCAAATTTACTTAAGAGTCGAAGAATTTAGGTTTATACTGTGGGTTTGTCTAGACTTAAATTTGTAATATGTTAATGGCAAAATCAAAACGACACGATATAAGAGTAATTATGCAATTCTCTCTTCTTCTTTTTTACAAAAGTAATTATGCAATTCATATCTTCTTTTCTAAAGAGCAGAACTTGAAGCAAGTGAATAGAACCTTGTTTTTTATTGCTATGTGAGTTAAAGGTGTAATTAATTTATTTATCGATATTCTTTAACTTTAACAATATTATAGAGATATAATTCAACATATACTATGATTATCTTAGATACATTAATTTAAAAGTGTTATGGTAGGAAAATGATTTTTTGCTGTTAAAGTGATATATCGACAAAAGGAAGATTTATTTACAAGCATGAAAACTCAAATTTGTTGAACCTTGTAATATCCTCGTTCGGCATTAATTTGAAACCAAGACTTGTATATCCTATTGATTGCTTCCATTTTATTTATTTACATATCTATATATCTCCGAATAGACGCAGCATCTTGCTTCTGCTTTCTTGAAGAAAATCATTCTGGATTATCACTCACTACTGGGATGTCTTAAAATGATGATTAACAATGCATGGTGACCTGTGCTATTGATGGTACTGTGTGGGTATTTTGACCATTTTTATGCCATATCCACCTGCAAAGATAAATACAGCTTGTTTCCCTATGGGGACACTTGGTCTTTGAATTTATGATTCTCGACTCTCGAGGTTGTTTGTGATATGTGCATGAGCACCAGTTGGATCATATAGATCACAGCACAGTTTTGAATCAGTGATCATTATGAGAAACTTAAATCTGTTTTTGATTGTGTGAACTGTGTGAAGCCATAATTCATACAGCTAGCTGAGACAGTAAAAATTAGTCGTCTCGAGTCCTTTAGAGTATTTTTAATTGAACAATCTAAAACTGAAAATATGAGAATTTTAAGTAAATTTTTCTATGAATGATTTTGTTCACACAATAAGTTAATTGATCGATAGTATACTTACTCAGTAGTGTTTCGTATTTTTCAATATCTTCATTTGATATGTTTATATGTTATTGAGCTTTACAATTATTCTATTTTATTTGCTATCAATTAAAAGAAGGGAAAAAGACATGAAAAAATGACAGTTAAATGATGAAATCGTCAAATGGTCATCCAAATAAGCAAAGTTTTAGTTTAGGTATAGGTGACCAAATTGGGATTTGCAAATTTGTTGGAATGACCAAACACCAAATATCCTTGCTAGAGCTCTAGGGTCCTTGGTCATTAGAGCTCCAGCCTCTGGCGGCTGGTAACTATTGTTTTGAAAGTTTTTTTAAGTCTGGTAATGCGATTAATAAGTTTTTTTTAATACTTTTAACAAATTCATTATAGCAGTTAATAACTGATTTTCTAAGGAATTCAAAAAGTGACTTTTTATAAATTTAGTAACGCAGTTAATTAATAATTTCTGTGATACTATTAACAAGTTTGATATAGCATTTAATAACAGGTTTTTTTAAAATTCAAAAAGAGGCATTTTTGTAACTTTAGTAATCTAGTAACTTGGTTAACAAATCATGTTACAAGTCATGTAACGATATTAACAACTCTTATAACATCATTAATAACTCTAATAACAAGTCATATAATGATATTAAAAACTTTCATAACCTTAGTGATTGCTTAATAAATGGGACAATTTTGTTATACAACCTTCATAGAGAGCTGATATTAAAAACATTAGCTTTCATAGGAAAATTTTATTAATGACACTACGAGAGTTGTTAATTTGACCCGTTAACTGGGTTACTTAAGTTATAAGAATACTATTTTTTGAATTTCTTGAAAAAACTATTGTTAATTGTTATATCAAACTTATTCATAGCATTATAGAACTTATTAATCGCTATAAAATGGATCGCTTTGGGATCAGATGGTTACCACGTTTGACACCCAACCATAAAGATCCCACCATTTTGATCCACTAGCTTGGTATGATGGAATTAAAAAAAAACAAAGAAAAGAAAGATATTGAATAAAATGAAAAAATAATAATTTTATAACAATTTTTTTGGGGTGAAATATATGCTTTTCAGAACATGTTCAAATAATAAGGGGGGGGGGATGGAACATAGATAAAATTTGAAATATATTTTGATATAAAAAAGGTAGGAATATTTTGGATCTGACACATTTTCCTATATATTAGTTATTCATCAGTTAGGGAATTTTAGCGAATTATCAATTTTAAATCATATGTTGATTTTTTTTTGCCAGGACCATAATTTGATATTATTTTTAAAAAAATTATATATCGATAATAATTGGATAACCGAAAAGAAAAATATATATGTACACAAATAAAAAATGTGCTCCTAAAATTTTGTCTTTGATTCGTGTGTCTATAAGTATTAAAATTTCTTCAATTCACACATGAACAGATATTCCTCCAAAGCAACAAATAAAATTTTATACGATCATTTTCATCCCACAAGGAGGCAAAGGGAGAGGAGAGCAGAGCAAAATTCTTGAACGTCAACCGAAGTTTAGAATATATTGATATAACAAAAAGGGGAAAAAAGAGTATATTAAAAAATTACGAAAGAAGAAAAAAGGGATTAGGAGTCTTTTTATGTTTCACACATTTCTTTCATACATTATATAATTATATATCATATAGCATCTAAAGTAAGCAATATATTATTTATCAGTTATGAAACACTGATAAGAAAATAATAACTAAAAAACTTTTAAAAATTTTTAAAAAATTGAGATTAGTTATAACTTATAAGATTAGTTAGATATCATCTGTACTTGATCAATTTACTTTGACTATTCTTCCCTCCCTTAATTTCTATCACCGCCTCCCATCACCCCATATATATCCAAATCCCTTTCCTCCTTGTATCTTCTGCTTTTCTGCGAAACATCCGATCCGCGTAAAAAATTTATAATTGACTGACTTGTTTCTTTTAACTGTGGCTTTTCCCACTAAACTAATTACATTTGGGTGGCTAATAAATGAATTAATTATAAAGTCACTTTCTTTCGTTGATTGAAACCTTGCGTCAAGTTATCAACCATCATTCTCGAAGATTTGCCCGTTTGGATTTTCTGTCAAAAATCAATTATTATTGGCAAACTCATGGTTTTCGTCAAAACAAAATCGAACACTCCTTAAAATGTCAAGATCAACTTTTAAAATATGTTTCAAAAATTTCATCCTTTACATATTTACTATTTGAATCACGTCATTTATAAATAAATTTGTAAGAAATTGAATTTCTTAAAACCTCTGGTAATTAATATTTTCATCCGAGACTCATGGACTCTTTTTCCTATATATTCTTCGTCATCCATGTCTATGCCTATATATGCCAATTAATTAAGCAGAGGTCTACAATTGATTGGAAGTGATAGCGCCCAAGAGACGATAGGCGACAAATGTTTCTTTAATATCTCACAATGCTCTCAGCCATGACAGACCAATACTGTATCCATATATGTGAGAAACTTACAGGCACCTTCGGCACCAAATTATAGCGTATTTTTAAGGCATACTATGCATTAATAAAATAATGAATATATATATGTATATGTTCCTTGATCAAATAGTAAACTGAAAATTCGAGGAAAGTACTAAGCAGGAACAGTATGAAAGAGAGTCTATCTCAAGAAGCCAAGGTTGACAAGAAATAACACCATATATATAAGCTCATCGATCAAGAACCAAATGGAAGTATCAACGTAGAAGCTTATTATCAAATAGAAAGTGATTTCGTAGAGACAATGAATCACCCATGGCATGACCACCCAATGAGGCTGGAACGAGACGAAGCAAACCCATTTGAATGCAGTGGATGCAAAGAACTAGGGTTTGGCCCTAGGTACCAGTGTGAAATGGATTGTCCCTTTGTTCTACACGAGGACTGTTTCAAGGCTCGCCCTACGGACCAATCCAGAACCCATCCATTCATGGGTAGCTGCAGATTCCAGTTTCTCTGGGAACCTCCCGGCGGACCGAACCGCCGATTGTGCGACGCTTGCGGGAGGGACGTTAGAGGGTTTGTGTATCATGATCAATACAAACACAAGCTGGATTTGCACCCTTGTTGCATGAACCTTAAGAGCACCATGTCTGATCCTTCTAATAGGATGACGCTGATTCTTAAGGACAAAATGCCCTCCAAGTGTGTGAAATGTGAGAGGAAGGATTTAAAAGTACCGAGCAAAGGGTCGTTCAGAGGGTGGTCCTACGTGTCTTCTTGCGGAAACTATTGTTACCATGTCTATTGTGTGAAGAAATTGATTCTGGATAACTGGGAAAGTGGCTATTTCAATGTTGGTTCCTCTTCGTCTCCTAGAGGAAGAAACTTGTCTATAGATGAGACTGCAAGCTCAACCTCGATCACATCAACCAAAAGTTCGTTGGCCTTGGCAAGGAGAGGCTCCTCGAGATCATCTCTCACTCGTGGGCTGATCAAACTGGCGAAGATAGGTTTCAGCGTTATAATATCAGTTCTATTCGGGAATCCAACTCCACTGTTTACTGCTCTAGCTGAAAGCTTACTGGATTAAAGGTTTTTGATAGATCCAGGTCGGGTACATGTTATACATATGTACATATGTATGTATATAATTTACGTAGTGGCATTTTTATATTGATCGTAATCCTTGAGTTGTTTGGATTACTCTTTTAGGTGTGACGAACTTGTGATAGCTGATGATTTATCCAAGTATCCGCCAATTGGCTTCGTGTTCTCTTGGCACTTGGTTGTACTTTTGCACTGTTTTTGCTAATAAAACTTTCTTTCATTTTGTTTTCCTTCACTGGATCCTCCATCCGTTAAATTTTAGGTTCAAGTCCAGATTGATTTCTTCTTTAATTTGTTTTTTATGTGTAAAAGAACATTCTAGGTTTCGAATGTATGTGAGACTCTTTAATGTGAAAACTATCTGGAGACGAAGTCGCAAATTATAACTCATAAGATTACGAAAATCATTACAAAAAGGTTTAATATTATAAATTTCAAATGATGATTTCGATGGATTTTTAATGAAAAGACTTGGATATTTTTTTAGCCAGAGAAAAAAAGAGACCCAGATATTTAGTATTATATTGTGTCCTCATCATGGCTGTGGAATTTTTATAAATTATTTATTCTGTAACAAAAGCTATTATTAGCACTTTAAAATTCTCTTGATCTAATTTAGTTGGATAAACAAATATTAAACATATACAATTAAATGTCCTAAGTTTTGTTTATTTTTAAAGTGATGGAAATAGAGAGAACAACCGTTGATCTTTTGCCTCATGTTCCAAAACCACACGCAAGTAGAATCACTACGACTTATCCAGTTCCTTTTTTCCCAAGAAATAAGAACCACTAGGACTCAACTTATGCTATCCGCGGAGGATACGCTACTAATTAAAGAAAGGGAGATAAGAGTTTCTAGATGCAAGTGAACCTCATAATGCAGTGTTGTGCTGTGTCTAACTGAAAAGTAAATTTACTTTGACTATTCTTCCATCCCTTAGTTTCTATCTTCACCTCCCAATGCCTCATATATATCCAAATCCCTTTCCTCCTTCTATCTTCTGCTTTTCTGGGAAGTATCCTGTTAGCGTAAAAAAATCCATAATTGACTGACTTGTTTTTTAGCTCTGGCTTTTCCCACTAAACTATTAACATTTGGGTGGCTATGAACTAATTATAAAGTCACTTTTCTTGCGTTGACTAAAACCATGCATCAAGTTATTATCAACCTTGCCTGACAAAGATTTGCCTGTTTGGAGATTTTGTATCAAAAATCAATTATTGTGGCAAACTGATGGATTTCTTCAAAACAAATCAAACAATCCTTACAATGTCAAAATCAACTTTTAGACTGAAATTTCATACCAGCTTCTGTTAATTATAAATCAATTTTATTTAAAAAATTATTTTCTCATCGCTTATCCAAATAGGTCCATTCCATATATAACATCATATAACGTCAGAGCTGACACAAACACGACTATATATCAATTATATATGTGTGTTTGGAAAAATTACGCATAACTCCCAAGTAAGAAAATTGAATACAGATATGTTTTAAAATTTTCATACTTAAATTTACATATTTACAAGTCACGTCATTTATAAATAAATTTGTAAGAAATCAAATTTCTTAAAACTCATTATATTTTTATCTGAGAACAGTATTGTGCTAGGTCTAGCTGAATAGTTAATTTAGTTATTGAATATCCAGGAAGCCTTTTTCTCAGTTATTTCAAAAGACAATAACGTCTCCCACTTTTTCCTCTACGGATCAGTATTTGAATTTTAAAAATAATAAATTAAAAAATAATTAGATAAATAAATATTATTTTTTCGTTTTGGTCTTTAGTACACCAAAATCCCTTAGTTGTGGATCTTTCATAGAACCCAATATCTCCTATTCATAATTGATGGATTTATTTTTTACAAATGCTCCCCTTCCTATTTCATATTAAGCGCCCCATCATGATGGCGGGCACATGATGTCTCGGTTAACAGTACGAGAAAATTGTTCTCTTGACGATTTGTGCTTGCAGCAATTTTATATTTTAGACATCCTAAATTTATTTACATACACCTTTTTCTATGGTATATAGCCTTTGTCGCAGATAGAATATCCACGATTATGAAATTTATAAATAATATTATAGGAGACATCGTCTTAATTTCAAGCAATCTTCCTTTCACTCACACATACATATATATATATATATATATTACTTTAACAGTAAGCAATCGTTTTCCTAGCAACGCCATCTAATTAACATGACCACTATGATAAAGTGGAACACGTTGAATGATATTTTCATGATATTGTTAAAGTCAAAGAATATCAATAAAAAATTAATTATACCTAATGAAAAGCAAGAATCTATTCACTTGCTTCATGTTATGTACTTTCTCTTATATCTTACTATACAATTTAAACACACAATATATAGACCCAATTTTTTCTACTCTTCTTATTTTATATGATGTCCAATTCAAATAATTTGTTGTAGTGGTGAGAGGTATCATAGATTTGGGATGAGTGGGGTTTGCGAGCTAACTTTAATTACGATTAGTCTTTACGTTTTGAAGGATAAATAAAATTGTTAATTAAAATTATGTAGTAGTGGAATCATTATGTCAGGGATTACTGTCGACCTAATCATCTCTGGTTCTTTTGTTTTTTTAAAATCATGACGCGTGTCTTTCTCCCGTAAGTCTTCTATGTTGTCCTTCGTTGTCCCTTCGTCTTGGAAGTTGGGATAAAATTGATGGACCAAATCGATAACGTAACTAAGACAAACTTGAGAAATTTAATTTATTGATAAATTTAATTACTTCATTGTCACTTCTCTTGTATGTGGGAACTGAGGGAGCAAGATTGAGTCCTTTTTCTTCGTCAACGATGGATATATCAATTAAACGGCTGGAAAGAGGATAATATATAATAACCAAACCTAAAAGAATATAATCATAACTAAATTATATAATTATATTGACTGACTTCTGGCCCAAGAACATCATAATTTACTTAACTCTTGCTTTCTGTACAAAACTATTCAAACTTGAATGACTGATAAATGAATTCCTTATATATAAAGTCACTTTCTTGTGGATCCCATCGATATATTTAACTCTCCACATAAAAATTATGTTTTATTGAACGATATAATTCTGAAAATATATATTTTTTAAGCAGACTTTTATGAATAATTTGCAAATATGATAATTGGCGGCTAATTAATTAATCAGAGTGTCATGCATATGGTTTTCGGCATTTTGTGTCTTTTTGCTTCTATCATTTTTCAGTGCTCGATCATGTCCACTGAAATTGAATAGTCATGATCTTACGTCCATTGTCATGTTTTTATATTCTTGTTTTGTAATTTTATTTTATGAATTTTAGAGGAAAAGACAATGAGATATAATGAAGCATTAGTGAAAATAGTATTTACCTTTTTGTTAATTTCTTTTTCTGCATTTGTTTTGGAAATCAATATAACAATTAATGAGGGGGGGAAGTTGTTTGGAGCATCCAAATACGCCTGCAAAAGCGAAAAAATCAATAGGATAAATTGGAACATTATTATTTATATTCATTTCAAATTGTGTCACTTTTAAAGTGAGATTAACGTAAGTTGATTTGATCTATTCGATATCTATGAAAAAATTGACGTAAAACGCTAACAACATGTTAATCTCATTAATAAGAGAATTTTTAATTTAACATACTTTATTACATAAGTTATTATAAAGAGCCGACATAGTGTAATAAGTAAATAGGTGTGGGGTGTATGTATTGTTATTTTTTAGTATTATTTATTTTGTTTCAACGAATCTAACCATGATTATTAATAGATTACTAACTCGCGTGGATTAAAAAAAAAAAAAACATCTATCGAACGAAATGATCAACCTTCCTTGCCCAAGTCAATGCAATTTAAGGGCCTACACAACGACTGCTATATGTCAATCATATACACATATGAAATTTATTTATAGGTCTAAAGTGAAAAAAAATAAATACAGATATGTATAAAAATTTTCATATTTACAAGCAAAATTTATAAATATTGACTTCCTTAAAAGCTGTTAGTATTTAATTTTTTAACGTGAGACCTACGGGCAATTTTCCCTATATTTTCTTCGTCAACAATATATAGTACATAATTGGTTAGAAGTGATTAGTTACACCTCATCAAAAAAAAAAAAGTGATTAGGTAAGAAGTGATTGTGTACAAATGCTTCTTTAATGACAGATCAATAGTGCATTTATATATAACGTATTTTCAAAACATGAATTAAACATTTATAAAAGACTAAACATGCCAGTCGATTTAATAGTAAACTGAAAAATTGAGGAAAAAAAAATATTGAGGCAACGGACAGTACGAAAAGAGACATAAACTCGAGAAGGTAAGCTGGGTTGACCAGAAATAACGCTATATAAACTAGTCAAGAACCAGATGAAAGTCTCAAGGTACAGAAGCTTGTCAATGAGAAATAGAAATAGAAAGTGACTTTGGAGAGAGACAATGGATCACCCACGGCATCAGGATAATCACCCAATGAGGCTGAAACGAAACGAAGGAAAGCCATTTTTGTGCAGTGGATGCAAAGAACTAGGGTTTGGTCCAAGGTACCAATGTGCCAAGAATTGTGATTTCGTCCTTCACGAGGTCTGTTTCAAGGCTCGCCCTTCAGACCCACCCAAAACCCATCCATTCATGGGTGACTGCCGATTCAAGTTTTTCTGGGAATGGATTGCTTTGGGATTAGATGGTTACAGCGTTTGACACCCAACGATAAAGGTCCCACTTTGATTCACTTGTTTGGTATATCAAATGAAAAAAAAAAAAACAAAGAAAGATATTGAATAAAATAAAAAAACTAATTTTATGACAATTTTTTTTGGAGGTGAAATATGTGCTTTTCCGAACATGTTCAGATAATCAGGGTCGGAAGGAACATAGATAAAATTTGAAATATATTTTGATGTAAAAAAGGTAGGAATATTTTTAATCTAACACATTTTCCTATACATTAGTTATTCATCAGTTAGGCAATTTTAGCTAATTATCAATTTTAAATCATATTTTGACTTTTTTGGCCAGAAATATATTTTGATGTTATTTTTTAAAAGAAATCATATATCGATATTAATTGGATAACTGAAAAGAAAAATATACCTGTAC